GTGATTTCTCGCTTTCTGTCTCTCTGTCTCTCTGGTAAGCACAAGCGCCCTATAGCAAAAACCTCTAAAAAAAAAGAAAAAAAAAAATCAAGAGCGCTCTTTTATTCTTGTTGGGCCCGATTCAAAACCCTGCTGCCAGATTTCCTAGGAGGACACGGGTTTTGGAACCTGCTCTCTTGCACACTCGTCAGCTAACAGCAGCCGTGACAAAGGTAGCGTGGAATGCACTGGTCAGCCATCCCTCGCAGGGTGAGGAAGTGCGTAACCAGACCAGCCGAAAGCAGCCTGAGAAGGGAAACCACATTAGCCAAGGTGCCAGGAACTCCTTTTCTGCTCTAGAGACAGTTTTCCGCCCTTGCTAGCGGAGGAGGACACGGTCAGCCCTTCACAGGCTAGTGACACACGTCAGGCCTGCCCTCGGCGGATTCCTTTAGGAACATCGCCCGGCCTCCTCTACTCCAGGTCATGGACGCACGCTTTGTGACAGCCGAGAATGATCTGCTTTTCAGATAACACCATCCAGTCGGTCTTCTGCTGCTGCTGCTGCTGCTCCGTGCAGAAGCGGTAAGTCTGCTTCTGACGTTCTCTCAGGCTTGCCCAGTCGCCATGTTTCTTGGTGCCCACTGCCCTGCCTGTCTGGGAACCTCCTCCCATGCTCTCCCTGCGGAACGCGTCTTCATGTGAAGGTCTGGGTCAGACGGCAGGTCCTCGGCCTCCTTTCCGACCTCCTTCACGAACCGCGCCTTCCCCGTCTCCCCGAGTGTGGCTTGCTTCTCGGCCTCGTGGTCGATTCCTGCACGTCGTTTGTAGGTCTGTGATCATCTCTACTTTTTGCCCCATAAGGCCAAGACTCCTAGCTTAGTTGTCTGAGTTTCTCCCCCACATTGTCAGTGTATCTTACACCTTGGCGCCCAGTGCATGCTCGCTAAGAATTGCATCCGAGGGACTGTGTTCGCGCTAAGAGCGAACACTTAATGGAAATGTTCTGAGTCCCGGGCACTTTGCTAAGAGGCCTGTGTTGTTGGCCACGTGGCTCGAAACCATCTGAGTGGCTTTCAACCCTCTCCATTTCATAGACGAGAACATGAGGGTCAAGGACAGTCCATGGCTCTGCCAAGGCCACGCGTGAAATGGCAGAGCAGGGCTTCGAACCCACGCTCTCTACCTCTACCCGTGACACGTCTTTTTATAACAGCAGACCCCACCACGCGAGGACATGCTTATAGAATGGTTAGCACTGTGCCAGACACAGAGTAATGTCATTATTGTGACTGCAATTTTATCCCCGCATAAGCACCAGACACCGTCCTGGCCACCCGCCCTGTTTCCTCAGCTTTGTTTCAGAACAACTCCCCATGCTCCTAACACCCCTACGTCTCAGATAAGATCACTTATCTTTGGAGGGTAGTAATTTCCCCAGGGAGAGGGGGTCAGGAAACTTTCTTGAAGCAGAAGCTCCTCCTTATTACCCAATTTCTGTAAAACAAAAAAACAAAAGACAAAAACCGAACAAAATAAAAACAAGAATAAAACCAAAAACCTGATTGGTCATAAACAAATCTGAAACGAATTTTTTTTAAAAAAGCGAAATAACCCACTTTCTTGAAGCCAAAGCTCTTCCTTATTACCCAATTTCTGAAAAAAAAACAAAAACAAAACAAAAAAAAAACAAAATAAAAACAAGAACAAAACCAAAAACCTGACTGGTCATAAACAAATCTGAAACAATTTTTTTTAAAAAAGCTAAATAACCCAAATTCATCCCAGAAACCCATTTCTTTCTCAATAACTCTCTGTAGTTTACTTAAAACAACCCCACCTTTCCAACAATTAAAAAAAAAAAAAGTTGGGCTTGTTTAAACAATAATTGAAATTAGAAACTTACATGAAATAAATTTTACTTTTGCCCTCACCAACCAAAAAATATACTTATCTTACGACTAATAATGACTTCTGCCCTTACTTAGCTGTAACCCATCGTGTTGGGGACACCAGGGTATGACGCTCCTTAAAAGCCTAAACAGCTAGACCCTCATATACAAATACAAAAACTCCCTGCACCCCCGAAATGCAAAACAAACAAACAAACAAAAATAAACAAAAACAAACTCTTGTAAAAATACCAGCCACTGTCCGTGTTTGGATCAATGATTTGATTCATTTCCATAAAACGAGTGGGGAATGGGCAGGAGGCTTCCATCTCTGAACTCGACGCAGTACTGGCGTCCTCCCTCTCCCCGGAGAACAGCAGGATCAGTCTCCCTGCCTTTACTAACCAGCCCAACCCTCTTCCTCTCAGATGTTCCTTAATAACATCATCACCAGGCACCTGACCCCTGCCTGGAGACGCGGAGACCGTCAAACAAAGTCTATAAAGTGCCCTTACAAGTGGTCACCCTGCTCGAGCTGGCTTCTGCACTGCTGTCACATAAACCTGCTCCCTTCCCTCCCGCCGCTCCCCATTTTCCATTGTAATCCCGTCAACTCGAAAACGACTGCGATTTTTGCCTTTATAAACACCCCTCCTTTCACTCTGGGCTGCGGGGTCTTAGAAAGACCTGAGTCCTCCCGCAACTGCCGGCTTATTAAAAGACTCCTAACATTTGGATGGCCTCTTCTTACTCACTAACCAGGCTACAACATTCTAAACTAAATAACAAAACAAAGAACCAAAAACCACTTGGAGAGATTCTTGGTCCTTTCTACCAGTTTTGTGATGATCTAGTAGATTTATTGATCCCAGGCATCCAAATAACCATCTGTAATATGATTGCTTTTCAACGTCAGACAAGTGAGGACGCGGATAAGCCTGAGCGAAGATGAAGGCCTTCCGGAGAAGTACCCTCAGCCCACCAGGCCGTGGTTCAGCGAGCACTCGAGGAAGAAGCAGGTGAGTACACCGTGCTGGGGGCAGAGGTGTGGAGGTGGTCTGCTCGGGTGGTGTCATGTCGTGCTTGAGAAAGGGTGAGTGAATGTTCCAGAAGAAAGTGAAAGAAAAAAACTGAGGGACCAGCAGTTAGCATAATGGCTATGTCACTGGACTCCCACGTAGTCGACCGCGGTTTGAGTCCCGGACCCTGCGGCTTAAACTCACGCCGGGCGCGTGTACGTGCGTGCCCAAGATCCTGAGAGGAGAATGGAGGAGAAGGGATTGCGGTGTGGCCATCCCCCTGGAGGGTGATTTCTCGCTTTCTATCTCTCTGTCTCTCTCTGTCTTTCTGGAGACTGCATGCTCCTTATAGAAAAACCTCTCCAAAAAAAAAAAAACTGAAACAAAAAATACCCTACTTTGCTATAGTAAAAGGTAGAATTTGAAAATGGACAGTGAACAAGAAAAAAATGTATCTGGCTACTGCCATTTTTGCTTTTTCTTTTCTCTTTTCTTTTTAAGCTTTTGCTGTTAGATATATACGCTTGCCAGAGAGAGACAGAGTGAGAAAAAATGAAAAATCACTTCCCGGGGGGATGGTCATGCCACAATCACTTCTCTTGCTGAGATTTTGGGCCTGCGTGCTCACTTCTCTTGCTGAGATTTTGGGCATGCGTGCGCACACACACACACACACACAAACACACACACATGCCCAGCATGATTTTCAAACCACTGGGTCCAGGACTTGAACTGCTCGGTTGGCCATGTGGGAGTTTAGCACCTTAACCACCATGCCAGCTGCTGACCCCCACTCCTGCTATTCTGATGCCAAGATGAATGTTTGGAGTAGTGTTTGGAGAAAAGGTGTTCCTGGGAGGTTAGATATGAACACAGCTCACAGCACGTGAAAGGGAAGGGCAGTTTTTCTTCCTCCAAGAAAGAAAAACTTGAAAACAACGTGAAGACTGTTAAGAGTAAATCATGTTTAAGAATTGGGACATGGGGCCTGCAGGTGTAGTGGTTAAGCACTGGACTCTCACGTGGCTGACCAAAGTTCGAGTCCTGGACCCAGCAGCTTGAAATGCAAAAATCTATTATTAAAAAAAAAGAATGAGGACATGAAAAAGCCCAACGTAATGCTGGCAAGGGAACTGGGAGCACAAAGCTGTGTGACCGGTGAGTGGAGCGCCGGGCCCCCCGCTGCCCAGCTGCCTGGCAGTAGTCGTCCTCGGCATTGGTCACACCCTGGCTCCTGCCTCGGTGTGGCTCAGGGCAGGATGCAGTGCGGGCCCACGTGCTACATCCTGCCTGTCTCACAGCGCGGACGTGGCTGAGACGGCATCTCACTCTGGTTTTTGCAGTCCAACCGGGGCCTGCAGCCTTCCAAACGCAAGCCTCTGCCGCCCCTCCCGCCCTCTGAGGTGGCCGAAGAGAAGATCCTGGTCAAGGCGCTTTATGATTTCCTGCCCAGAGAGCCCTGCAACCTGGCGTTGAAGAGAGCGGAGGAGTACCTGATCCTGGAGAAGTGTGACCCGCACTGGTGGAAGGCCAGGGACCGGCTGGGGTAAGCCACGTGCGGCCCTCGCCCCTGCGTCCTCCATTAGTCTCTAAAGAAGTGGAAACAAAGAAGACATCCCAGCGGCCCCCATTCCCTGGGTTCAGGGTTCTCTCCTCTGCTTCCTCCCCACCCCGACGGATGTAGGGGAGCAGCAGAGGCCCGGAAGCAGGCCTGCCACCCTGACGTGGCCCCTGGTGATGGCGTGTCCTTGCACAATCAGAATAGTGACCCACAGTGTATGCCCTTATCCTGATTCGTACGTGCTTGGATAACGCCTTTTTTTCCTTGTTAAGCAAAAACAGCAGCAGTATCTTTTCTCTTTTATATTTTTTTGTCATGTTAGTTTGGGAGTAGGGTCAAGGGGAAGGCTGAGGACCACTGGGCTCCCCGGGAGAGAATGCCGGCATTGATTTCTGATAGCTGCCGAGATGTTGAGTCTCTAAGTATCAAAATTGTGAACATGTAAATCACGAATTTCTGGGGCCAGCAATCACATTACCATCCGAGTGCCCCTGCTTGTCTTGAAGAGGTTTGGGGGGTCATGAAACTTCTTAAGCTACTCACACGTAAAGTCAGGGTCTTCATATTGTTTGTGCAGAGATTTTTGTTGAGTTGGAAATGAAATCAACTTTTTCCTCTTTTAACAGTTTAATCAGTAAAATGATTTTGATCTCTTCCTACTCCTTGAGGCTCTAAAAAGATGGCTGCCCCAATAATGCCGCAAATGTGCCAAGCACTCTCATTTTTGCTTTATCTTCTGTTATAGAAACGAAGGCTTAATCCCAAGCAACTACGTGACTGAGAACAAAGTAACCAACTTAGAAATATATGAGTAAGTTTCCTCCCAAACATGCCCTATGGCTAACCTGTGAATATGGGGACAGCGTGGCAGCTTGTAAGTACAGGTACCATTTATCTGCGAGAGGAAAGGAAAACAACGCATTTGTCAGTTTTGGCGACAGACCTTTGATCTTTATCGTGGCGGATTTAGAAACTTCTTTTTCTTAAATGTTGTTTTGTTTTGCATGTCTTTTTTTTTTTTTTTGTCATAACTACAGAGTAAAACTATATACTCATCTGACACTTGTTTTACTATCTGTCCTAAAAAGAAAATCGACTTTTAAAAATGATATTCAAGGGGCCGGCAGGTGGTGTGGTGGTTAGAGGCACTGGACTCCATGATTGTGGTTCGAGTCCCAGACCTGGCAGCTTGCTTTCTCACTTTCCCTCTCTCTCTCTCGCTCTGTCCCTCTCTGGTCAAATTAAAATAAATAAATTAATTAACTATAAGATAGAATAATTATTTTAAAAAAATATGACATTCAACTTTCACTGAGTGGCCAGTTGGACCTACCATGTAGACAAATGTACTTTGGAGCATGTTTTGATATTTCAGAAGTACCTGAAGAGAAGTACCAGGTTAATGCTATAGTCTGGAAGAACTTCTGGCACGCTCACAAGAATCCTGCCTTATATCTATTTCTGTTACCATTACAAATTCGGAAGATGGACGAGACCTTAGCCTTCACCTTGTCAGCCCTTTATGATGTAGGTGAGAAACTAAGACAGATAGGTTAATTTATAGGTAGAGCGTGCCAGAGCTGGGGCTAGTCCTGTGTTTTTCCTGATTTTAAAATTTCAGTTGGAGGGTCCAGCAGGTGGGCACTGTGACTAAAGCGCTGGACTCCCACATGGCCAAATGCAGTTCAAGTCTCAGACCTGGCAGCTCACTTTCTCGCTCTCTCTCATGCATGTACCAATAGCAAATAAAAATAATAATAAATTAAATGAAAATGAACATTTTTTCGGTTTGTGCATGTGCCTCTTCTCTTTAGGACTAATTTTGCAGTCAGCCGATGCTCCCAGCAGGTGGCAGGAGGTGATGATATGAAGCATTAAGACAGGTCGTCTGAGAACCAGGCAGCAAACAGAATGAATGAGACCCTGGCCTGGTGGGCCTTGCTTCTAATCTAAGCCCACTTGAAGGGCAGACTCAGGACATCCCTCCCTGAACAAGCCCCGTTTCCAGGCACTGGTGAGCGAGGCAGGCTCTGTGGACAGGAGCGTGGATGAGGGCCGCATAGGACGTGTCTGCGTGACCTTACCAGACCTCTCCATGAGCTGTACCTGCTCTCTCCTCACTCTGCCTCGCTCCATCACAAGACCTCTCCTCCTCCGCCCTGCTTTTGCTCGGGCTGCCGTGGCCTCTATTGGCCTGGACCATTTAGCTCTGCCCTGAGGTTTTCCAGGAAAATGAAGCCCACAGGTAGCTGCCCGCCCTCCTGAGAAAAGAGAAGTCTCCCAACGTCTGCCCCACGGGGGTCTTGCTGCTATCCCTAGCCGAAGCTGACCTGTGAAAACATGTCTTTTGGAAGGTCAGGTCAGAGGATATTTCCTGCTAAGAAATATTAGAAAATAGGACCGGTTCCATGTCATTACTCCAGGTCAGATTTTCCAGGCGATTCCAGGAGAGACACAGGGAAGTTCCCCGGGCCTGTAGGTCAGACCCTTGCAGCAGCTCCTCCTCCTCCCGTCTGGGGATTAATTTGCTCATGGCTTCCTGCTTTAGTCACGAGGCTCAGACTGGCTGAAACTGTTTATTCTGTAGATTTGGGTCATTGAATTAAACTACTCAAAGGTCAGAAATGCCATTTCATTTCTTTGGGTCTTGAAATAAGTGTCTGTAAAACATCCCTTTTAGTGACTCTAAGTTTGGGAAAACCACTTTGAATTTGATCGCTGTTTATTGTTTTCTTTATGCCAGAAGGTGTGTGTCTACATGTCCGAGAAGGAGAGAGACAGAGCAGAGGACCCCCAACAGGGCCTGGACCCCCGCAGGCCTTCCTCCTCCAAGTCCATATTCTGTCCGGATCCTGCGCAGTGGGGCCCAGGACTGGAGCCCTGGTCGGCCGCAGGGACCCTGCTTCCTCTGTGTACATTAACTGCTGTGCTATGTGACCAGCCTTCCTCGTATTCAACAAACAAACAAAAGCATGTAATTAGGGTACAGGCGTCGTGATTATCCTGGCTCATCAGGCAGGAGCCAATTGGGGTGCTCATGCTGCCGCTCTCTGCTGATGGAGCGAAGCGCGCACTTAGAAATGGGAGCACCTGCTCCAAATCCCAGCCACAGCCTGACCCGTGCCAGGCTCCGGGCAATCAGCCGATGTCGCTAAACCTCCGAGGGCCCTGAAGAGCGGGGGGCGGTAATGCCTGTCTCATATGGTGCATTGTGAACACTCGGTACATTCTCTTTTTTAAAATAGTTATCTATTTATTATCATTATTTTTAAATTTGATGAGAGAAGGGGGGAGAAAGAGAATGAGAGACAGAAAGTGAGAGAGCAAGCCGCCAGGTTTGAAACTCAAACCGTGTTCGGCCATGTGGGAGTCTAGCGCCTTCACCACCACGCCCCCTGCCGGCCCCATTCAGTACATTCGTGGGGCGATCATTTCCACGACCTGTGACGCCAACAGGAGAGACATTGCTGCCGCGCCTGCCTTGCCCAGTAAGCCAGGGGAGAACACCCCTGAGCTACTTCAGCCCACCCGATTGCGGCGTTCGCTGGGGTACACTCCCTGTGCACCGAGCTCACGCTGGACATCGGTTACCCTGGGCACTACAGCGCCAACACTGCGCACAGGACGGCCCTGTGTTTAGGGAGCTTGCACTGCACGGGACACACACATTACACAACCCTTGATTTTCAAGTCAATATATAATTCTTTTTTTTTTGGAGAGGTTTTTGCCATAGGGCGCGTGCGCTCGCCAGACAGAGAGAGACACAGAAAGCGAGAAATCACCCCTCCCCGCCCCCAGGAGTAATGACCATGCCATAATCTCTTCTCTTCCATTCTCCTCTTGGGATTTTGAGCACACATACATATGTGCCAGCATGACTTTCATGCCCCAGACCTTGGAACTCAAAACACGATCAGTCACATGGGAGTCCAATGCCTTAACCACTATGCCACTGGATGTCCATATCTCTCTCCAGATTTGGGAAGTTTCACCCATTCATTTTTAAATAAATATTCTTTCCCTTCTTTTATCTTTCGAGTTGCCTGTGATGTAATTGTTAACTCCTTTGATGGAGTACCGTAATTTTATAGATGTTTTTCATTCCTTTTTATTATTTTTCTTCTGCCTCCTACGACTAGAAATTTCAAATGACCTCTTTGAGTTCAAAGATTCTTTTCTCACTTGATTGAATCTTCTGTTGAGGCTCTCTATTGCATGTTTCATTTTGTTCCTTGTATTCTTCAGCTCCAGACTTTGTTTGGTTCTTTCTTATTATTCCTATTTCTTCATACAACTTCTCATTTTGTTCATGTATTGTTTTTCTGTTTTCATTGATTCATTTATGTATGTTCTCTTTTACTTCATTGAGCTTCTTTAAAACAATTATTTTGAATTCTTTCTCAGTTAACTCCTAGATCTCTATTTTTTTCAGTTACTTACTAAAATATTACTGTGTTCTCTTGGTAGTATCATATTTCCTTATTTCTTCTTGTTTATGGAGGTTCTGTGGTGCTGTCTTTGCTTTTGAAAAAGCAGTCATCTCCTCTCATTTTAACATTTTCTCTAGTTAGCTCATGTTGGGATTCTTAGCCTCTCTCAGACTTAATAGACCTTTATTTATTTATTTTTTTTTTGAGAAGTTTTCGCTATAGGGCACATGCGCTTGCCAGACAGAGAGAGACAGAAAGCAAGAAATCAGTCCCCAGAGGAGATGGTCACGCCGCAATCCCTTCTCCTCCATTCTCCTCTTGGGATCTTGGGCACACACGCACACACTCCCGGCGTGAGTTTAAGTCACCGGGTCCAGGACGTGAACCGCAGTCGACTACATGGGAGTCCAGTGACATAGCCATTACGCTAATTGCTGGTTCCCAATAGACCTTTTCTATGGTGTATTTATTCCACAGGACTTTTTTCTCTTTATAGAGGTATTCTTAAGACTATATGCTTTCTCAGTCTCACAAGGTCAGACCATGTGCAGAAAGCTTCCTGTTTGTTTTCTCTAGGGTTCTGTCCTGTAATGCTCAAGCTGTGTGCTTTCCCTTAACGAAGTAGTGTCAAGTTGTCCACCTGCACCTCCATTCACAGGAATGACTGAGGGAGACAACTACAGTGGAACTTTGAGGCGTGCAGAACATTTAGGTTGCCCATGCACCAGTTAAAAAGGTTTCTGCAGGTAAGGTGCTTCAAGAAACTCATGAGCCTACTTCCTGGTAAAGTATGCTAAGTGATTAGTAGGGTTCATGGCCCCTCTTTTCTGCTCCCTTCCTATCCTAACCATCAGCTGTGCTGATCATCTCAATAATCTGGGTGAGAAAAGAAGAAAAGAACCTAGTTATGCACTCATTCATTCTGCTCTCACCTCCCTCCGATGAGTGAAATCCCAGTGCCAGGTTAGGCCTTGAGCTATGCCACCCTGAGAAAGAGGTGATGTGGGTAAAGTGAAACTGTTCTTCTTACTCTCTTCATCTATTGTGTGTTTTGCTCTAAGGATGAGCTGAAACTTTCCCACTGGCTTAAACTCCCACAAATGTATTTTCAGTCATGAGTAGTTGCCAAAATCAATGCTTCTTCTTCAGGAGGCAAATGGTAGTAAATTCCTATACCATCATCTTACTGACCTCACTCTCAAGATAAGAGAAAAGAGGGCGTGCTCAAATGCTAATTAAAATTATTGTGTAGAGAGAGAGACAGACAATACAGAAACCAATAAAGTAATTTCAGCAAACGTTTTCTAAGTGAGCTAAAAGATATGAGCTCAGGAGCCTTGGATAAATGCTGCAACATTTATCATCCACAGATATATGAGG